CCCCCCCCCCTTACTTGTTTTTTGGTTTATACTAAACTAGTTAAGAATTTTGGTTATTTCTGCTGGTAAGAATTACCTCTCTTTTCTTCCGGAAAATTGTTGAAAAGAGAGGTGGGGGAAGGGGACGCTAGCGAGCGGGTAGGGCGGAGCGAGTAAGGAACAGGAATTTTTCCTTTTTTTGCTACCAGCACTCCCACTTGTGTGTGTGGGTCGTTGACTCATAGTGAACAAATATTATATTCCTTAGTTTTGTTGGCTTTTTTTTCTTTAAATACATTTTACTTAAAAGTGGTTGCAGCAATGGAATCGAGGAACGGTATGGGCAAGAAAAATGAAGTGGTTCAGAGCGCTGCTTTGTCTGACGTTTCTAAGTCTGAAATTTCTAATCTGAACTCATGTGCATACAACTCCATTTATCATCCGACATTTTTGGATAATAGCGGTATGGCTTCAGACATTTCAGAAGCAGTTTGAGGATAATTTTATCATTCCTGGAGATAATGAAGTTATGTTTTCAAAAGTATTCAGATGTATAACTGAGCATCTTGTAGGTTTTCTTGTAAAAGTTATTTTTTACTGGATTCCTAAATGTTTTTCGTCTATTTTTTTTTTTACCTTACTATTCTTTACCATTCGTTTGAAGTCTTCAAAAACATGTAGCTACTTTCTGGTGAGATTTTCAACTTCAGAATTTTCTTTTTTTCCTTCATGTCCCTTGTTTTCTTAATCAAACTATATACTATTGATTTTTGTGGCAAATACGGTTCTGCATTCTAGTTATTTATTTCTCTAAATTTGTGCCGGGTGTATTTTTCTCGCTTGGCAAAGAAAAAAAACTTCTGAAGAAGTTGAACGGATTAGGCATGGTTTTGAAACGAATTTCCTTTTTGACTTGACTGATTAGTCTTTATGTTATTAAAAGAGCTTTTGATAACACATATTTATGCTATAGCTCACTGTGATGTCATATAACTTCAAGTTTACTGCAGATTGTTCGCGCCGCATGTATGGTGGTGACGACGAACAGAAATTGACTGACTTTGATGTCGAGGAAATGATTCTCAATGATGGAGCTCTCTTTAGGGGTGAGTACAGTGCATATTTGGTTTTTATTATTTAGAAGGGACTTCTATAGGGGCGGAGTAGTTTTTTTGTCAGTTATATGTGGATTAGGTAAATTGTGGCTTGGTTCAAACCAAGTCTTTTTCTAAAAGTGGTAGCATAACTGCCTTTTAATTGCAGCTGCGCAGAGTGTTTCTTCTGGTCGATATAATCTTGGTGATTCTCTTAATGAGCTTCCTTTAACCGAGTCTAGACGAGACTTTGTCAAAGCTAGGAAAGAGAGGTTCGCATCAGACGCTATCCCGATTGATGATACTAAGCAGGCAAGTTTGTTATGTGTTAGTTCGTTTGCAAAAATCGTAATGGGTTGTAAGGTACAATGTATTATTCCTTAGTTTTTACGATTTTAGAATTCAGTTTTTTTTTTGCCAAACAATGTATAAGTCATTTTTTGAGGGATGGGTAGCTTTTGGAAAAGAAGACCAACATTTGTTTTGGTACGACTTCAAAAGATTTGAATTTTTTCTGTCAAAAGCAAAGAAGAAGTGTTTGTTTTTAAGCATCATCGAGAACCATGCTTTGAGTTTTTCAGTAACATTTCGTTATAGCATTGAGTTTTTAGCCACAGCCTCTAATGGGGTCGACAGAAGAGAAGCTTGATGCAACAGCTGCGATAGCACTGAACGTAGTTGAGAGTTTGTTTGTTGGAAGCAATTCGGTTGACCATTCGTCACCCCTCCTTTACTCAACAATAATGGTTTACACATTTTTTTTTCTTGTTCGCATATTCCTTACGCAGCAAATTTTTCTTGACAATCAGAACTGTACATTTCAAGTCGTTGTTGAAAAGGAGGTTTTTCAAGTTTCTAATTTTCATTCAGGAGGAAAAAGCGAAAGGCGACAACACTTCGAAGCAGTTAAATAGCGAGGTTAGCCAGGACGACGAATCGTTAGCACCTGCGGTCCGAAATGTATTTGATGTTTACCGTTTGTCAATCCGACAGAGTGAAACGATGTCAAATCAACCCGATTGTATATCACCGGATGTTGATCCTGAATTATTAAAGGCAATCAACGAATCTGCAGCAAGTGGTCGAACATCTCCTACCAAAAAATTAGATGATGCTGCTGCTTTGCCTTCTTGCGATTCGGCCGTCGATTCTTGGGAAGAACTAGATAGTGATGACTCTAAACTTGTAGACGAGGTCTTTTATTTTCTAGTTAATTTGTCAGTCGTTCGTCACTGACTCATTTTATGGTAAAGTATTTTTGTGTTTTTCTGTTTTATGCTCGCCATCTTGTTAATTTAGTTACAATCTGCTATGGGGAAAGTTCGGATTCGGAAACCGAAAATTGACTACTTCGTTCCACCCAAAACATTGTGTACTGAGTGGAATGAAAAGAAACTTCCAAATGTTCTGGAGGCTTTCGGCTTGCCTCCCCGTATAACTTACGGTGACATCAAGCATGAACTTGCGAAATTCGACTGTGCTGACGTTACTTTTCAAAGTGTTGATGATTCGCATTGCTTAATTGCATTTTCGTCCTCGAGTGCAGGTAATATTACTACTCATCATTAAATCGAGGATGTTTTTTTTATAAATTAGGAGTGTTTCCTTGCAGCATTAAAAGCACTTATCGCTGCCCGTCAGCGTAGCGCATGTCCTTGGCTTAGACTTCGGTCGATGTGCGATGCATCTGCTGCAGCGCAAGAAAAGGCGCGGTCATGTTCAGCTGCTTTGAAACCGTATAAACCTCGACCACAAACTACAATGGTTGTTGCTCGTCGTTTGGTTGAGAATGCTCTTGGCAAGCGGGCCAAGGTTCCTGCTGAGCAAAGGCGAGCTGAGAGGAAGCAGCTGATTGACGCTAAAGGTCTTTTTTTGTGAAGATCAAATTAGTTTTTTTAGTAGTTCTGGATGCATAATTTTCACTTGGTTTTCAAATCGTCACTTTCCAACTATCGTACATAGTATCACATTCGGTTACTTTCAGTACAAAAGGAAGCCCGGTTCGCATTATGGGAAGACATTTCTTAAGAAACAGTTTGCTTACGCGATTAATCAAGTTTGAGTATTATTTTCGTATATAACACAAAAAACAACGGCAAATGACTGAAAAGTTCGCTATACGTGGCGATTGCCATCCAAAAAATTGCTTGTTGTTGTTTTATTTTGCGCATCTAGTCGCGTTATGTTTGTTTTGATTCTTTTTTGATTATTTTTTTCATTTTGAAAGCCATGAGCACACTTGTTGGCGTCTTTTTCTTTTAGATATCTCTTCATTCGCTGTGATAAGAGACTTGAGAATTTGTTTACAGTTGTCATATAGCTTTATGGTATTTAAAAAGAGAATTTCGTAGGAAACATTACAAATCTGTTCTTACTTCAGTTTTCTTGCGGAATTTCAACTCAATACGCTTTCACGCTATATATAATCTGTTGGTTTCTTAGCGTTGTAAATTGAGTAGACTTATAATTTATGGTCCAGTAACTTGGTTCCTCCGACTTGCTTTAAGCGTCATCTATATGAGAAATATTTGTATTTTTTAAGCCAGAGTTTTTGGGGTTGACTACTCGGTTAAGTCGTACGCAGCGGGGAGCAAACTTGGATTTGCAGAACGTGTTGTGCGTACTTAGTCGGAAGGAAATTTCTAGAAAAGATCGTTGAACCAAAAAGGATCAGTGCGAGTCGGAAAGTATCTATACGACTCGTTGTTGTTTTTCTAGAAGGCGCCTGCAAACAGCGGAATTTAGATGCTGTGTTGCAGCTTGTGTTTTCTCATCTGCTCTTTTCGTTAAAGAGCGTCATCTCGAACACCTTTTACATGTTTTCTTACTCTGCGAAGGAAAGCAGTTTTCGGTGTTCATGTTTTGTGATCGTCTTTTTTGCCAGCCAATCATGGTCCACTTTGACGGGATTGTTTGAGGGCGGCTGGAAAGGATTTGATTGGTATGCTGCAGTACGAAGCAGTTAAGGTGTGCCCAATTTGTTGGTCTTTTTGAAGTCGTTGAAGGATATTTGAGAAATACAGAAGGTATCACGTGGGCGTCGATTGAACCCTGTTGAAAGTTCGCTTTTGTCGGACGGTGTGAGATGATAATTTCTTTGCCGGTTTCGTTATATGTGAAGTTTCGCAGTGCGGTTATTGTGTTGCTGAGAGTTTTCTTACATTATTTATTGCTTTACTGGGTTTCGTTGTTGGGAGCGGAGAGAGTTCAAGTGTTAGCCATTATGTTTTCTCTTGTGATTGTTTTCGCAATGTTCTGACATCGATTCGACCCTGTAACTCATATCACGCGATTTCATAACTTATTTTTCGTTGAGGTTTATTTCTCTGAATATTGTATTTCTACGAGCACATTGTCCCGGATTTCGACTGATCGGTAACTTCTTTTTTTTTCAACTGTTTATTTCATCATTTTCTTTGTTGGAGATTTGAAAAGCTAAACTGTATTACTTGCGTGTATTGTTGTTAGGTGAAAGTATGGAGGTATGTTGGATGGATGGCTTTGCTTTCCTTTGTCTTTTTTCTACATTAGGCGCTGTTTTGTGGCGTCAGGCTTTTTTTTTTGTGGATGAAGCAGTTGTAGCCGTGTTATTGTATGTTGATATCGAGGCTCTTAAGTAAAAGTGACTTGTTTATGTGTTGCGTTTGTAGCATTTACTGTTGCATGTTTTGTATTGGCAAAGAGAGAATAAAGTTTTTGAGTCAAGTTTCGTGTCCCTGGTGAACATGACAGGTAGTTTCGTCGTGGCTTTTAGGGAACAAGTTTACAGTTGGACCTTTGCTGCAGCGAATTTGAAACAGGAGGGCGAGTAGCTTCGCTTCATGTGCTTTAAGGCCTACAGGATGCATTTAGGGGCGAGCGAGAGGTTGGGGAACTAGGTGTTACAATATTTCTTAGTGCCTACGGGTCAGTCAGGGCTTGACGTAATTAAGAATATGATAAATTTGAACTGAAATAGTGGAGATTTATAAAGAAGAGATGAAGATCTGTCTGTTCGCATAGCTTTTGTCTTATATCACTGATTAGAAGGCGTTTTTTATTTAAAGATTTTTTTTATAAAACTGTGTTCTGTAAAATCAGCGTCACTTGCAATTTATGGCATTATTTTTGTTTAACCTAAATTACACTTTTAATTTTTAAAATACTCTTAAAGCATATATATCTTAAAGCAGAAATAGAGTTTTTCCAGAGGAAGGCAAAATTGCTGTGGCTTTCTACAAATGGACTTTCTGGTGCATATTCCTGAGTAAGAATTCCTGTATAAAGCATTAATACATTTTTTCAGTGGTAAGGTAATAAACATTCTAATGAGTGATTAAAAAAATATATGCAGCTTGGTCAGTCAAAATAAAATTAAGACGCGAGAAGGCCGTAACATGTTGGGGATTTTCCCTCAATAAGGAAGGCATTATTTTATGAGCACGTAAGTTCTACTAATTGGAACAGCGAGCTTTGAGCAAATTTCTTCTTAATCGGTAACTGTGATATTTAACCGGATAGGTAGAAGATATTAGTTAATCCTTCTGGCGAGAAAGAATATCATCGTGGGACATTTTTTAAGGCTCTGGTTTGGTTAACTAGTTCGGCCTTTATTATTAACTGTCCTTAGGTCAAAAATAAAGTGATTTTAACAAGATTTTCTGCAAGAATGTATTTCTTGTCACTTTACAAAACACTTTTCTGATTATCGCCATAAAGTGAGGTAAACCGGTTATATGAGACTTATCTTTCACATTTGATTTTGTTGTTTTTGCTGTGATTTTTTTCATTCACTTATTTGTCATTTAGGCTGATCATTTCTTTGTTCAAAATTTTTTCTTCTTGGCTCTTCTGTTTGATCAGGTTTACGGTCATAAGCCGACTGATTAGCAGAAACAGTTTTTGTTGGTTATTTATTATGGTTTTTTTACAGTCAGTTATTGCCACTGGAATACGACAGTCAACATTGATAAACGAAAAAACTTCTTTAAGTGGACAAAGTAACGAATGCAGTTTTGGTTTGACATTTAAATTCAGTTCTTTGACGTTTCGAAGAATTTAAGCGAATAATTTTTTAGATTTGCAGTTGCATAGAGAAGAAACTTATAAAAAGCAGGTAAACGGTGAAGTACAGATAAAGGAAAAACTTTTCATTTATGTTATCCACCGCTCTCATTGAAAAATGCAGAACTTTTTAGGCTTCTATTAGTAAAGTAAGCGAATTTACAAACCTAAAAACTACAAAAATTTCCTCCGGAATTCGAACAGCATCACTGCTACTTGCGGTCAGTTACGTTCCTCAAAAAATAATGTGACCGTAAGCTGCACACCTGTACCGGTATTAACTTACCTAATTTAAGTATTTGAAGGCAATTATTTCTTTTTGAGAACAAACGTGTCGACCCCGTATGGTAAAACTTTTTCCAAATAGATTGATATTCTGTAGAATCGCCATAGCGGTGGTTGATTTTAAAACACTTGTAATTTTTTTAAAATCTTAAACATGTCACGTTCGTCAAGCTGATACACCTAACCGGATAATTTGATTATTACTAAAGCTCAAGATTAAGTATATTTTCTTCGAGAACAGTGGCTGTTCTTGATAGCTAATAACGCAACTTAGTACCGCTAAACAAATCCAGTAAATAACATTTACATATTCAAAGTTTTTGTTTTATTATAGACGGTGGTACAAATTCTGCTGCTTGATCTAGTGTTGCAAAAATGGTAATGCAAATTACACCTGCGCAAGTTGTTTCTGATCACATAGGATGGCCTTTAATAGCTTAAATCATCGAGGAATTTTTACATACTTTTATTTGCTACTAAAAGCTTTTTACTGTTATTTTACAACAATGCGGTATTGCTTTTCTTGTCCTGCTGTCACTGTACATTTTAATTTTCTATCATCAGAATGAAAGATAGAAAGTGCTGTTTAACAAAAAGCTATAGTAGAAATGGTAACTTGCCAAAAGATCACTCTTTTCAACGAGAGTGTTGAGGCAGTTTTTGGAGGGCGTTTTGTTGTAATAAAACCGTGACTGTACCAATAATCGTTTTTTAAGTCATAAGTAAACATTTTGATTGGCAGTTTCTTATTTGATGCTTCAGGTTTATGGATGTTGCAAAAAGAAATTTGATCATTTTTTTTATCAACAAGAGACAAAAAAATTATCCATCACAGAATGGTGTAAAGCTACAACAGATTGGTTTATACACTATAGATGGGGTAGATTCCAAATAGGTTTAGGTGAAATGATAGTAGAACAGCCCCTTGCATTTTCATACGATCACTGTTTGTATATTTTTTGTTAACATTATTTAGGGACTCAGAAAAATCTTGTCGGTTTTTTTTTTTTTTACGTAAACTTTTATATAATCATAGAATACCGTTCTACCTTAGATGGAATACAAACTATACTCGTTTTTACTTCCGAACTACTTATTAGTATTACGTTTGCCAAGTTCAGTAGCTCGTTTCAACAAGATACGGTAGGTATCGGCAAGCTAGAAATGAACATTTCATATTTTATTTGATACCAGTAGCAAACTTGTCACTTCTTCGTAAAGCTGATCTTATGCCCTAAATATATTAATAGCAATAGATAGCATTCTTCTCGTTTAGTCTGAAAAATACATCAAACTGAGGAGGAAAGGACTAGGAAACGGAAAAAGAGTAAAGTTTCACGCTAAATCCTAAAAAAAAACCTGCAGGCTAGTAATTTCAGTTCGTAGTTTCACTCAAAGAAGAAGCTCATTCTTTCTTAAAGCCGTTACCTAAGACAGAGTGCTTTCAAAACTACCTTAACAGTGCACCGTTGTATTCGCTAGTGAACTCAGTAAATATACAAAGAAGCTCCTAGAATTGATTTAAGTACTACGCAAAAAAAAAAAAACTG